AAATATTCAAATAGGAGTTGGGGTAGTTAAAGGTACCGTATAAGTGCTACAAAAATAAAAGAAAGTGCCACTGGGAAGATAGTAAAAATTTCAGTTCAGAAGCACAAGGGCGCGGAGGTAAGTAACTAAGGATATTTATAGGCGAGTAAGAACATCAAAAATTTCGTCGGGTATACGATTTAATAAGCTCAAAGCTTTACAAGAGTCAAAGGGTCTTCCCTAAGTACTACAATGAAAGACTAGCTGAGGAAGTAAGGAAGAAGGCTTCGACCTAAGCATAGTGACCTAAAGAAGAAATGATCTCGTAACAACAGTCTCACTACAACATTATATGCACTCTATAAGAAAGTGGCGCATATCGTGACTAATGAACGGGAAGTAAAAATCAAAAATAATATTCAAGATCATATGGGTTGAATTCCAATTTGTATACGCACTAAGATAAGCCAAGTATTCATGCAACAAGTGGCAGAACAACGAGGAAGAGTAATTGCTTACATTTCAAGACAACCGAGAAGGCACGAAAGGAAATCTATGGTGCTAGCAAGTTAAAGGAAGATGCAAGAAGTATAAATATATATATGTAGGTCGCAAGCTAAACTATCGTAAAGCGACAAGGTTTTAGGTAGATAGGAGTAAGAATAAGAAAAGGTGACTGAGAAGGTGACAAGAATAGGTAAGGCCTCTGAATTAAGCACATCAAAACAAGAGAGTTGATGGTTTCCATAAGTTATAGAAAGCACAGTATAGACTGAATGAACTCAAATAATTTTAAAACTAGGAGAATTAAGAAGAGATGCAATGCTGCCCTGGTAGTAAAGTAAGGATGTAATTGTGCTAAATGATAAGAGGATGACGTTTAGGCCTTTGATTCATGAATAATGATTTAAAGAAAAGGTATATCATGATTGCACGAGATTAGAATACCCCCATAAGATGAATCACATTGGGATGTAATGAAATGTGGTTATTGAAGTATAGTATCGCCCCTAGGTAAATCGGGAAATCACTTCAGATGTCCCCCGATGAGACATGAGCCCTAGTGACAATATATTACGTAAGAGGTTTCAAGTTATCGTTGGTAACTTATAGGTCAAAATTAAGGTGAATCAACAATAGATGGATAAAAGTTTCAAAGCATGAGAGGAGATTAGGATGTCATTCTTTAGATGAACAGTAATTAGGAAGCATTAAAGGACTTAGATTTATACATATAGGACAAGCGGTGAGAGAGTAACATGGAGTTGGGTAGCAAACCTCGGTAATAATAAACCAAAGCAAGAGTTATGATATAGTATGACCTACCTAGATGTATTAAAGCCATAAGAATAGATAACCGAGGCTATGAAACAAGATATAGCTATAGTCGTAAGTTCGACAAAGTACCAAGCGAAGAACTTCAGTAAACCTATAGATGCCTAGAGGGATAGCTTGTCATAGATCTGTATATGTTCATAGAGTGAAGCCTAGAAATTGGCTAAAAGAAGGAGGAAATAGGATAGAAGAGTCGCATAGGCGCACATACAAGGCCAGAGTTATGCATCATAGAAGGTAGCAAGAGTTACGAGATTGGAAGAATTCTGACCATAAGTCGTGGTGTGAGAAAGAGGCCCAAAGGGGGAAATTCCCTGGCCTGTGGATTTATTCACAGAACAGTTGCCTAGATGGCAAGGAAAATATTAAAGTATTCGTAAGAGCAATAGCTTAAGAGATAGATAAGTGCATCAATCAACATTCGAGGACGAATTTTCCAAAGCGGAATATGATGTTACACCCCATATTTTCGTACGTAAGACTACGTTGTAAGTCAATTGATGTAAGCTCAAAAATAAGATTACATTAGAAATTACATGAAGTAGGTTAATCATGTTACCTTAGAGGTTACAAATATTTAAGATCATGAATAACAAGTCAAGAGGGTTGGAAGGCTTAAAAGCTAAATGAATCAAAGAAAATAAATTTCGTCGAAAGTCGACAAGGTGGGAATGTTATAACATGTACTTTTGGGGTGAGACTAGGGTGATCACATGATAAGGAGGTTATGCTATGAGCTATTTTATTTGTATGACAGTCGTGTGTTACGTTTTGAAGTCAAGCAAGTTGTGGAACAAAAGTTTGGAAAGGTACAAGTTACATTCGTAAATGTGATAAAGTTTCCCCAAATTTTTTCAACAAAACGGACTCAATCTCATCATCTTCTAAGTCATTTCCCTTTATCCCGCACATGTACGAAGTGATGTGTTCATTAGGATCATTGGTCCCGTTGTATTTAGGTATATCCGGCATACGGAACTTCTTAGGAATGGGCTTCGGAGCCGCACCTTGAGGAAAAGGTTTCTGCACGAACTTTTTCGAATCCAAACCCTTAGGATCGGGGGTGCCCCCGGTATTTGATCAACTCGGGAGTTGTATGTTTCCACTTTTTTGTCATTATCTTCTATTTTCTTCTCTCCTGACTCAATTCTTTTGATGAGCTCCTCGAGCATTTTCATTATTACAGGATCAGTCCCTGATTCGTTACCATTCGACATTTTTGGCACTGGCTCGGTACGGCGAGTGATTTCCGGCTCGACCCCACTTGGAGCCCTATGTTTATTTTGCAACTGAGCGATAGCGGCCTGCTGAGCCTGTAGCATCTAGAATATCACCTGGAGACTAATTCCTCTGTCTCCTCTGCCGTGTGTACCTTGACCACTAGATCGACCTTCTCTGCGTATACTCCCTTCGGGGTCCGCGCCTAGGTCCGCATTTAGAGCAACATGTTAACTGATATTGACTGGATCAGCAACCGGTGCTCCTCCGAGATTAGCCGCTGGCACCCCGGCTCCTGGAGCAGTTACATTGTCGTTTTCCCCGTGAAATCCGAGACCATCATCACCATGTATGGGTGCGTTTTTTTGAGTTTGACATGTTTTAACCTGAGAGCGAAAAATACTTGACAAGAACAAGTGTGAAATTACGTGTGTTATCAGAATCAACACTGAACAATCACTATTATCCTTAGCCCCACGGTGGGCGCCAAATTGTTTAACCTAAAATTCGAGCAACAATTAAACTTATATTGTAGTTTTAAGGATATGTGATTTAATCCAATACCAATTGATAAACAAGGAATTAAATAGATAAATTAGAGGATAAAAGCAAATCAAACTAGTATGCAAACCAAATCTCGACCTCGACCTATGATAGTCTCGAGGTGTGATAATAGGAATAGCGAATTATAAAGCAACTCTGATGAAAAGTAAGTGAAATAGCAAGAAAGTAATGAGCGTATATTTTCTTATCAATGAACAATGTGTCCACAAATGGATGGGATCCCCCTTTATATAATAGGGGAGTCCTAAATAAGGTACACTTCTAATTATAGTAGGAAATCATATTTGACAACTGATTATCCGCCGAAGACCAATCCATTCTTAAATTCACGCTATGATCTCCAGTCCATTGCGGGTATCTCGCTATTTCCGTTACTGTATTATACCGGCATCATTTCGAAGTATGCCTTCTTCTGACCTCGGTAAGTGATATCAACCTTGATCTTGGAAAGGAACTTTGACCCCGAGCTCGACGTTCTGGTCTTCCGACGTGATATCACTTTTTCCATCACTGGACGAAATCGGGTAGCCCCGATTTCCACCGTATACAAGAACAAAACCATGAAAATACTCATTATAAACCTCAGTAGAGCAATACTTCAGAGGTTTACTTTAAAAAACAGACAATGAAAATGCAAGGCTATACTATATTCAGATAAAAAAAACCGCGCAACCCAAGAACAAGCTTTCATTCACTTGGCTACAATTTGCGGATAAAGCTACAATACATGGGGTTGGGACTTCAACATTTCAGTATACAAGAACATATCAGAAAAACACTCATTGGAGGGAATCAACAAAAAAGAAGAGGAAGATAAGCAAAAATGAGAACAAAAAGGAAGCAAGCGGGCAGCTGGGGGCAGGAACAATGCAGTACTTGTACAGGTGCACTTGGTACGTGGAAAATATGGGGAACTTAATCATCAGCTGGATAGCAATTGTGTCAATACAGCATCAAGGAAGAGGAAAACACACAATGATAGTAGGGATAGTGATTCATTTTCTTACGCACATTGGTTTAGTTAATCATAGAATTAGTAGTTTTGCTAGTTTTCATAATGTGATGCCAATATGGAGTACTATGCTCAGTATTGGTAATAGGTCGTATGTATTTTTCAAATTTTATTGTCTTTTCTTGTGTTAGACCTCCTGACAAACTGTGTTTTGATTTTTTATATAAATAAAAACTAGCCCTAGGCACTTAAAAAAAAAAAAAAAAAAAAAAAAAAAAAAAAAAAAGCTTTCATTCACATCATGCTACAGGACAAAACAGTTTCTTAGCTCAGTTTCTTTTGTTCTCTGCTCAAATTCTAAAAGGAAACAATAGAACTAAACATAATATGATAAAACGGATTAAGTTCGGATCGTAAAACGGAGTGTAAAACCATAAACCCTGTTACTTAGTAAAATTCCTCTTTCTATTCTTGGGAAGATCACCAATCGCGCGCACTCATTTAGGACGAAGAAAGGAATGCATGCAATAGGAAAAGAAAAGATATTTGAAGTCACTCAATATACTTTGTCTTTCTAGGTTGTGTAAAGAAGCATTTGAAACTATAAAACTTTGTGTTCTTGTTCCATTCACGGGGCCATATATATTAACAAAATAGAAAAGGCTGTTCAGGAAGTTGGATTTGAATGTGTGTATTTTCTCTAGTGACTCATAGAAAGAATATTCTGCAATTGCCAAACATACAAGCTATTCAACTATAGCCCAAGAATGATTGGAAAGATACAAGCATCATATATTAGGTAATGCAGGACCCACTGAAAAAAAGAACAGATTAATAGCTAGGACTACAGGAAATTATCTAAGGCATTAGCTTAACAAAATGTTTTATCTTCTTATGTCTGTTTTCTGCATCAATAGGCTCCGTGCCACCACAACGAAGCAGGTTGCATGTTTCAGTTATTGTGAAACTTCCAGGCTGAAGCAAATATAATTGGAGTTTCTTTCCATTTAACAATGAGGCCCTTTCCATCCATATCCAGAGTGCAAAAACCATGAGCAGACTTGTCGGCCATTAGATTTGCGTGGTACAAGGATGATTCGCTCAATTTTGTTTCCTTAATACCAAACTTTTCGAACAAATCTCTCCACACTTGAAGCCTTACATTGCGGCAAGTCCTATCTTCACCTTCACAAGTGATCATATTTCGAATGATCTTCCTTATAAAAAGTCCTTCAAATGTCATCCTGTACTGATTGTCTCGTCTCATGCAAACCTCCAAGACATCAAAGAGTGCAGCATAGAGATACAGAGCTTCATTGAAACAGTCCACAAAAATTGGCGTGTTAGTATTTGCCTCTGTGTCAATAACCACCATCACACAAGGATTGATGCTTTTAATTAATGTTAGCACAGCTTCCAGGTGATTGGGCGATGCTAACATTCCCCCAAGACGATACTCTGAGTAAACTGCCGCAGCTTCACTAGCATCTAACTCAAAGAGATCATTACTGAGGTCCTTCATTTCTGACACAACTGCCTTGAAGGAAAAGGGAAACTTCATGTTTTCAGCAACAAAAGATGACAATCTCCGCCCGATTTCTTCAACCATCTCTTTTGATGTTCCAACAGCTGTTATCTTGAGAATCTCAAGTTGATTAGGAAGAGCTTGCATGAGGATTGGCCAGTGCGACCCACTCTTTATTCCAATGTCGATCAAATGAACCCTGGTTGCGGACTTGAGATTATCTAAGATGGCTTGAATTCCAGCAAATTGAGGCACATGGAAGAAAGATGATGATTGAGAGCATACAAATATGAAAGGCTTTGGAGTCAGTAGAACCTCTTCCATATCAAATGGCTTCTCTTCCCCAGCTTTAGGTGGTAATGTTCCCATTTCCTTATCAATCCTCTCTCGAAGAGCTTCACTAAAGCAATACACAACTCTTTGAACTGGATTACCAGTAGGAGAAGCAGAAAGGTTACACAATCTTAGTAACTCTGTTGCACGTTCATAGTGTCTTTTCGAAAACATTTCAGCAGAGTCTTGAAGTAGAAGAGCAAGCTCCAAATCTTCTGAAGCTTCATGAGACAGACCAAAATATGCGTTAGAAGCAATGGAGGAATTATACTTGATAATAGGTGAATTAGACTATCATTGGACCCTAAAAAACCACATTTTTGTATAGCTTTATGGTAAAACGTGATAACCAAGTGCTCTGATTAGTGTTTTTCATGCTTTGCAGGCTATATTCAACGAAAGAAGTCGCTGGAGCAAGTTTGGGGATCAATTACGGAGAAAAAGAGGCCAATCAAACAATGCCCACGAAATGCACCAAGTGAAGAGACAAAAGCAGAGCTAAATTTGGCCTGCCGCGGTCGGACCGAAACCACGGTAGGACCGCGGCAGAGCAGAGCTGCAGATTCAGAGGACCTCTTTGGCCGCGGTCCTGGCGTAACCGCAGTGGGACCGTGGCAGAACGCAGAAAAGCCAGGGACTAAAGTGTCAAGTCGGGAAAACTTGGTGTAAAACCCTTATAAAAAGTAAGAATTCGGCCATATTAGGTCAGCTTTGGTTAGAGAGTAACTTTGGGCAAGAGAAACAAGTGTGAGAGATCACCCAAAACATCATTATTCTTATTCTCTTTTATTTTTCTTGCAATTTTCGATTGTGAATCTTCTAGTAGTTTATTCCTCCATTGTTATGAGTAGCTAAATACCTTAATCTAAGGGTTTGGTGGAACCCGTTGGGGATGACGTGGTTGTTTTATTAATATAGTTGGATTTGATTGTTAATCTCTATTTGTTCATCTATGTTTTGATTGTGGTTAGTTGAAAGGGCCCTCAATTACCCGTTCCTATTTATTATGTATCTACTTGAGAGAGAGTGCATATTTAGGTGATTGTATGAACAACATCACTCCCGGAGTATAGACGAGAGTCATAACCGAGGGTTTAGAGGTTGGATTAGAGATAACGATACCTCGGGTGCAATCTAAGTGAACTGTATTGTGAATCTAGCTAGCGTAGCTTGAGAGAGTGCGTCTAGTAAATTATCATAATTGCTTGAGAAAGATTTATGATAGCTGGAGCGTTCATGATTGATAGAGACAACTAAATCATAGTTATAAGACATATACAACCAAAGAAATTATCAACGGGGGAAACCATTGCCTTAGACCTTGTTCCAATTGTTTACACATCAAGTTTAATTAATTTTCAGCTGTTAATTACTTTCAGTCTTTAGTTGTTAGAAAAATCAACCATTGTGAATCAAAAAGTTTGGGGAAACAGATTGTGTGAATTTAGTAAATCGGACAATAGTAATTGATAGGTTAATTCTCTGTGGTTCGACTCTGGGCATAAATACTCAGATTATATTTGCAACGCTCGCGTAGTCTTTTGCGAGACTCAGTTGAGCGTGATCAAATTTTGGCGCCGTTCCTGGGGAATTAACGGTGTTATCAATTACAATTGAAAGAAGTACAAAAATTCTAAGTGTAGTCAGTTTCTCTATACCCAATCTTTTCATTGAAATTCTAACGTTTGAAATCTTGTGGAAAGCAGGTGTATGCCTAGAAATTCTTCGAGGACTGGAGAACTACTAGAAGGACTCTTAGACCCCGAGAAAACAATCAGGGCATTGAACCGTTCCAACAAAAGACTTCAACAACCTCAACAAACACACCAACTCGAATTTGACATGGGTGACGTAGATAACGTCAACGGAAACATCAAGAATGAGCCAGCTGACTTAAATGTCAGAGGAGTGGCACCTCTTGTGCCCGAAGCTGCACTTTATGACTGGGCACAGCCCACAGCTGATAACTTGGCCACTGTCATAGTTGTGCCCGCAATTCAAGCGGAGACCTTCCAGATAACCGACAACATGCTGCATCTACTGCAAAATAAAGGATTGTTCTCCGGATCACACATTGAAGACCCTCAGCAGCACTTGAAAAATTTTCTGTCAATTTGTGTGACCCAAAGGCAGCCAAATGTGACCCCGAAAGCTAGCAAGCTGCTACTGTTCCCATTCTCTGTGACCGGGGAAGCTCAGACTTGGTTTAATTCGCTCCCTATCAATTCCATTGCCACCTGGGAGGAATTAGTCAGGCAGTTTCTGAACAAGTTCTATCCACCAAACAAGACTGCAAGACAGATTGATGAAATATTGTAGTTTAAGCAGCAGCCGACTGAGTCCTTGCAAGAAACTTGGGAAAGATTTAAAGGAATGCTAGTGAAGTGTCCTCACCATGGCATTCCAGACCAAATGCTCGGCCAGAGATTCTACATGGGGCTAGCTGACCATTTAAAAGCAAATGTGGATGCTTCAGTTGGAGGTGCATTATTGAGTAAGACATTTACCGAGTGCAAAATCTTTCTTGACAAGATGTCACAAAATTCGGGGTGGATGACTAGAGCTACAACACTGGCACCCATAGTGCATTCAGTTCCTCTTGACCAAAACAATTCACATGCAGGGAATATGGCCACACTCATGACCCAGATGAGCATATTGACGAAGAAGATTGATGAGATGGGCACAAAACAGGTGCACATTGTTGATACAGCAAATGGAGGGTTGTGTACACCTTGTATTAATCAGTCCTATGTGTGCTCATGGAGCGGAGAAGGCGAAAATCAAGGGCCACGGGAAGATATGAATTATGTCAACAACTATGAAGGTCAGAGACAAGGAGCACAACAGTGGAGACCGTAGCAAAATCAGCAGTACATGCCTAATATGCAGCAGCCTGGGGGTATGCACCCTCAAAACCAATTAGTGCCAGTACCTTATCAGAAACCACAGGGTTATCCACAGCAAAATCAGCAGCAATTAGCTTATCAACCACCCCCTCAGCAGCAAGATAACGACATGGTGGAAATCAGGGGTATGCTTCAGCAACTCATTGGGACAAATAATAAAGTGCAGGAAAAATTGGCAGTGCATGATTCAGCCATAAAGAATATTGAAACGCAGCTGGGTCAGCTGTCCATGGCTTTGAACAACCGTCCTCCGGGAACTTTACCTGCTGACAGAAACATAAACCCCAAGGAGCAAAACCCGAATCATCTGATGGCAGTCAGTCTCCGAAATGGTAGAGATTTAGATAGAGAGCAGGAAATTGCACAAGCCAGCAAGAATACTACACCAGCCACTCCAGTTCAATTAGAGGTAGAAGAACCAACAGAACTTACTGAAGTGGTGGTTGAGCAGAGCCAGGAGGAAAAAGGTAAAGAAAAGGAGAACGAGCAAGTTGCAGAACAGGTGGCACCTTTTGTGCCAGAAAATCCTAACAGAGAGAAGCCAGCAAGCAATGCACAAAGGGTGATACCTGCACCCTTCCCTCAGAGACTGGTCAAACAAAAGAAGGCAGACCAATACAAAAAGTTCATGGAGATGCTGCGTCAAATTCAGTTGAATATTCCTCTGATGGATGCCTTGAGGGAGATGCCAGGTTAAGCCAAGATGATGAAAGATCTAATGTCACGGAAGTTTGATTTTCAGGATCTATCCACCGTAACTCTGACACAGACCTGCAGCGCAGTGGTGGCAAAAACCGATGGTTCAAAAGATGTCCGATCTAGGTAGCTTCACTATTCCATGCACAATTGGAAGTAATGCCTTTGCAAAGGCGTTGTGTGATTTGGGAGCCATCATAAATCTGATGTCGCTGGCAGTGTACACTAAACTGGGCATTTGGCAGAGCTAGACCGACTTCTATGCTGCTACAGCTGGCTGATCGCACTATGAAAAGACCAACTGGTATTCTTGATGATGTGCTGGTGCAAGTGGGGAAGTTTGTGTTCCCTACAGACTTTGTGATTCTGGATTGTCAGGTGGATGAGGAGATACCCCTTATTTTAGGGAGACCATTTTTAGCCACTGGGAGAGCACTGATAGACTGTGAGACTGGGGAACTTAAAATGAGATTGAACAATGAAGAAGTCATATTCAATGTCCAGCAATCAATAAGGAGACCCAGTGAATATGCTAATTGCTCTCTAGTGTAGGCAGTGGATGTAATCTTGCAAGAAGATGATAGGACCCTAACTGTGAAAGATCCATTGGAGGCATGTCTGACGAATTTAGAAGAAATGGATGGTGAAGGGTTAGCTGAATGGGTTATGGCACTAGAAGGCCAAGGGTTTTGGTCAAGCGAACCTCAGTTCGAGTCCCTTGAGCTGGAAAAAAGGGCCACTCCTCCAGCAAAGCCATCAATAGAGGAACCACCCAAGTTGGAGCTGAAGCCACTCCCAGATCACCTCAGGTATGTATTATTAGGCCCTTATTCAACCTTGCCTGTTATTATATCATCCTGTTTGCTAGATGTGCAGGTAGAACGGCTCTTACAGGTACTGCAGGATAACAAAACTGCCATTAGTTGGACCATGGCAGACATAAAGGGTATCAGCCCAGCCTTCTGTATGCATAAGATTCTCTTGGAGGAGGTCACAAACCTTCCAGGGAACATCAGCGAAGGCTGAACCCTAATATGAAAGAGGTTGTAAAGAAAGAGGTGATCAAATGGTTAGATGCGGGAATCATTTTCCCCATCTCTGATAGTAATTGGGTCAGCCCTGTCCAATGTGTTCCAAAAAGGAGGGGAATGACTGTTGTGAAAAATGACAACAATGAGTTGATCTCAACTCGTACAGTCACAGGGTGGCGAATCTGCATGGATTACCAGAAATTAAACATCGCCACCCGAAAGGACCACTTTCCCTTGCCTTTCATTGACCAAATGTTGGACAGGCTGGCCGGAAGATCGCACTTTTGTTTCTTGGACGGATATTCGGGGTACAATCAGATATCAATAGCCCCCGTAGATAGAGAGAATACATCCTTCACCTGTCTGTATGGCATCTTTGCCTTTCGGAGAATGCCCTTTGGGCTTTGCAACGCACCAGCGACTTTTCAACGGTGCATGCTAGCCATCTTCATAGATATGGTGGAGGACATTATGGAAGTCTTTATGGATGATTTCTCCGTGGTGGGAGATTCATTCGAAGACTGTCTTCACAACTTAA